TTAAAAACTTTTCCTAGTAGCTAGTTTTTCCCTCGGGAAATTATCAAAATTTACAACGATTTCAGGTGTAACTTGTTTACTTGCAATAGAATAGAATATAATTATTTATTTGAGACCATGATCCACAGTAATGTTCGTAATACAGTAAACTTTTCTTACTTGCTATGGTTTGTACAATACAAGATTACTTAATTCTATAGAAATACCACGTCTAGAGTACTACCCCACCCACGTGTTGTTGGCAACAACGACTAGTATGCTATTAACGCTGTCGCTCACACGCATCATGAGTGAGGCAGCCCTCTTGCGAATAATGGCATGAAAGCCGTCTGTGTGCGCCTCCGTGATCATGCCGGATGCACTACAGTGTCGCGGTAGCTCCATTAGCATCCTGAAAGCGTTGTTATATTGAACCCTTGTATTCAGGGTTCTCTGCGTAAACTACACCCACAGGTTGCTCGTGTAAAAGTTTTGGCAATATGCTTTAAATAATGAAATCTTTACGTCTTTGGTACAACGAGTAAACCTAACAAATTAATAAAAGAGATATTTACATTTTATTAAATTAGTTTTATAACATCACGGACAAGAAATATTAGACACTTCGCCTTGCCGCTAGATGGCGTTGGGATCAAAATAGAACGAGCTATCGAAGTGTTCACTAAATTACCATATAAGTTGTTAAAGAAAATTGCTTTTTACCGAATCGTAGGGCCTTTGAGCGCCATTCCAGTACTTCCACCGGGCGGAATACTTGAATGAAAGTTCATAGAATCGTCGTTCTTGATCGTCGGCTACCGCTTTCATCGGGTGAGACGGTGAGCTTACTTCGAGGGTGAGCGCGATTACGTCTCCTATGTTGCGCATTAGGAGATTCAAGCGTTTTTCTTCACCCTTCCTCGCTTCGTGTACCTATCACAGTTTGACAATTCGTACTCTTGCTGTAATAAAGTCACATGTGATCATATGTCAATAGTATTTTATGCAATCGTCGAATAATGACGGTTTCTAAAGTTGAGTACCGTGTTTAAGCCACGAGGCTTTGCCGAATGGCCTACTTTGCCGAGAGGCCTAAGTAATAGATAGGTACGAGACCTAACTATGTAATCATTGCATACAATAGTTTTTCTACGAGTAAATTGAAATAATGAAACACAACCAATATTTAATGTATATTTTGTCAACAACCAACGACAACAAACTCAAATGAAAGGCAAACAAATGCCACAAAAAAAACCTCCTTGGTTTTTTTTGATATAAAATAGAAATGTCCGTGATTGGCCGCTTATATTTTAACCAATCAGGAGGCAGTACAGCGTTTGAGTAGCGTCATATTTTTTATTTTATACGCCTTTGTACCTGTTATGTAACATTTAGAGTTATTATGTAATAAAATAATTAGAATTTTTAATCATTTCATAAATATAGTAAAGTTATTCTGTTCAGAAACACAGTGGCCCGTCTCTCCCGAAAAGTAGTCATTTTGCAGATCTTAACGTATTGATCGGATAAATGATGATTGCCTCGAATATTATCAGAACCGATGTCCCCGAAACTCACACATTCTTAATTTGAAACACTTCAAAATATAATACTCACCTGTACCCAGACTGTCCAATCTACTCAATGAAATCAGTCATCATTGTGATATACACCAAATCTCACTAAGCAAGTTTTGTGTGCTTGTTCACAACAAATTGTTAAATAAGTATAGGTAGTATAGGCGGTCATGTGTTTTTTGTTTCTGTTTTCTTTTGTTTCTTTTTTACTGTTAAATGGTTAGACATTATTTATTTATTATTCTTTAATCTTAATATAGGTACTTAATTACGAGTTTTCAGTTATGGCATGAGGTGTTTACCAGTAATTAACTGTTGCACTCAGTCTTTCAACAATGTTATGTATTTCTCTAGCTGTAGTTTTAGTGTAAGCAGTTGTTGGTGAACCAATAAATTAAAAAAAATAAAATAAAAATCTTGATATTCATAGGTCGTATTTTCAAATTTAAAAAGAAATAACATATTCTGGATTGTTAATATAATTTAAACTTTACCCTGTTGGCATATTGTTGAAAGTTCTATATCATCAACACCTATTATTACAAGTTACGACGTTTTGATATTATATTGAAATTCCCATCAATGTGCTGTCATCTAGCGGTCCATTGCTGAACGACGATGAATTGGAGTTATTAATTTAGTTTTCCAAATAAGTGACCATATTGCATGGTTATAAGCTTTACATACAAGCTTTATAAGCTTTTTTTGCTCTCCAAAACAGCATAGCAAGGCATTTTTTTAGGATTTCAGAGAATTTTCACGAAAGAATGACACAACCATTCCATTGCTGAACGACGACGAATTGGAGTTATTAATTTAGTTCTCCAAATAAGAATTTCTCCATATTGCAGGGTTATAAGCTTTACATACAAGCTTTATAAGCTTTTTTGCTCTCCAAATAACAAGGCATATTTTTAGGATTTTAGAGAATTTGCACGAAAGAATGACACAACCATACCATACAAAGCGAAAATGGCGGACTGAGCTCAGATAGGTCTTTCGAGACCTATAGTTGGCACGCGTAAGACGCTAACTAACCACTTCTACTGCATTTGTTGTTATGTGGTATTGATAGTAAAATATTCGCCGATTGTTGCCTGGAGTGCGCTAAGCGTACAGGAAAACAATTTGAAAATATGGCCTTATTGCCAAAGGTGCGAATTAATAACGTTAGATCATATCCGAACGTGTGCTTTTGATTACTACATTACACGCGTAGAACTATAAATCAACACAAATTAATAACCACTTAAAGCAACATAGCAGCAATGGTGGCATACTGGAGTGTAGCAAGAGATCTTATCTGTAATGAGGCTGTCGTAATACTATTAATGAGTATGAAAAAAAAAGCGATCGGCGCGCGCGCACCTCTTTGGTTACGCACATCAGTTCGTGTAGTGGTAGCAAGAAAAGATTTTCCAAGACTTTAAAGACTGATTCGACTTGATCGATGATATTTTTGCTCCTAATGGTGAGAGACATGCCTAATAATAACAGTCGCAGTCGCTGTAATTGCAAAGATCAGAGAGGCACTGTTGCCTCAGCGGGACACTTGCTTCAGCTGTACCAAGCACAAGTCCGGTCGTGCATGGAGTACTGCTCCACCTTTGGGATGGCTCTGCTACATACCAACTGGCTACTTTGGATTCAATTGACAAACGTGGCGTACATATATGCATAACCCGCCTGGGTAATTACCAAATAGGAAAGGCTGAGTTTATTTACCTAAACAACAATGAAGTAACACACAAAAAGTAGATAATATCTCCCTCTCAAATACCATAATTAATAATATTGTATTTTGTTCTATCATCGTAACCTAAAGTTAACAAGTCCTATATGTCATCACCAGCAGCCTTCAAATCCGGAACGCACTAATGCCAACAGTACGGATTATTTGTGGAATACGTTCAGGACAGTCTTCTCAGGTCAGTAATTGGGTTTGCACTGCGTCGTCACCGTTTGTCCGAAAGAAAGTCTGTCTATTTACAATTTCTTTCATATTTGACTGTATTTGTGACCAATCTGTCTGTGGCCAATAATTGTGCTGGCCAACAAATCTATGGAAATTGAGCGTGACACATCCGATTGGCGATAGAAATAGGTATGGTGGCATAAATATGAATAAATCAACAAAGAACAACCCATAGAGTTTTTTCATCGTTGATTTTACTTGGATTTAATCAATTTAACGAAGCCTAGTGTAATTTCTTTAGATAAGCAAAGTGCATAGACATGAAAACTACATTTTGAATAATTCAAATTTTTAAATCGCGTATATTTGTTATTTTGTTTGAAAAAACAAATATACGCGATTATGCCCGGAAAAATTGTTTCATTTTTGAACATTTGTCAACAAATTTACACTAAACATTTTTATGACATTAGTACGTGAAGGCGGTATTAAAGTCTAGTATTCAGACTAGGCCATAAGCAGGTAAAGAGCTGACTGCTAAACGGATACAGGATCTCAACCATTTCTGCAATTGCGTAGTTAAAATCTGTTAAAGGAAAGACGTGAATTTTATTTCTATATCAACATTAAACGTTCCACTCCTAGGAGAAGATTTCCAAAACTCTTTGAATCGCTCGGTATCTTTATTGACAGTCAATAGAGGAAATCTGAGTAAAAAAAAGTTTTACTGCTTTTTGTAAAACTCAATATACATTGCCGAGGAAGGGAATGGAATCAAAATTGTATGTATCAAAAATGTAATGGCAAACTGGATTTAAGCCAAAAACAGATCACGCGTCTTCCAAAGAATTCTCGAGCAGTCTGGGGAATTACCGCAGCTACAACGGTAACGGTAGATATCTAAGAAGTTTTTGACCCATGGACATGCTATGTACAACTTCGTTACAAAAATTCCCTTCCATTCCATTCCAAAGTAATGTAAATATACTGAAAGAAATTTCTGTCGAATCGCTATCATTATTAAAAGCAGTAACATGAAAATGTATTAAATAACGCTATTTTAAAACCCTCTCACATTTTATAAATAGAAAAGCAGAGTCATTGCTATGCTTAAAATAAGACTCTTGTCGCTATTACTGTAAATTCAAACTTGAAAAGAAATAATTTGTTATTACATGTACTACAGGAGTTACATCATTTAAGGAGAATATACATTGCTAGATTAGGCTTTCCTGATTATTGCACATTGCTAATGCAACTATTTTTTACTACTTATTAAAATGTTTTTTCTTTGTGATATCAAGTGACAGGACCAACAAGTCGTGCGCCTGGTGCTCAGAGCTTTAAATCCAAAGATCTAAGGGACACTGCCACTGCGCTTGTCACCCTGAAACATAAGTTGACAAGTCTCGTATGACTGTAATTTCACCAGCACCCTTCAAAACCGAAGCACAGTAATGCTTGCATTATCAGTCTCGGCGTCAGCGCCAGCGCGTGCGGTTGTGCGTAACAGTGTTTGATTAGTCATGGCGCCTAATACGGTGAAATGTGCAAACTGTAATGTTGTTATCAACGAGATACTGTCTTTCATACAGAATAAAGTGGACGTAATGGATGAAGAAGGAATCGTGCGTCTCTGCTCATCAGCTTTCACATCTGAGGAAATTGAAAATGCTAAGTGCCTGTTATTTGAGTCAATAACGACGACCAAGAGGAACGTCAGAAGAAAGAAGGAAGGAAAATCACAGCGAGATCTCTTTGATGTGATAGCTGTCTTTAAAGAAACTGATCCAGATAAAGTACCTATTTTTGTTGCCCGTGATCTACATAAGTTACCTGCGGTGACCTTCGATCATTTAGATGTCACGAGATTACTTAAAGAACTACTAACTTTACAGAGTGACATGAAACATATAAAGGATGACTATGTTACATCGAAGGAGCTGAATTTAGTGAAGAATGAGCTTTGTAATTTAAAGCAAGCCTCGATAGTTAACAATTTTGAAGGTATTTGTAATGTAAATATGAAAAGAGGCGGTAGAATCAGAAAAAGCAGTAACGGCGCTAACCAAGGTGACGATTATCTGCGTGACAGCTTGTGTGACAGCGGGCCGATGGGACTCCGCCTAGATTTGCCTACAACTCCGGATACTGATCCACCGCCGATTACTGAATGTGCACACACACTAACGCCCCATCTCTCTCTCACGGCATGCGAAGCAAATGATTCTGTATTGTCTAAGCCGCAACGGGTGGGTGAGGTGTGTGGAGGGAATTTGTCGGGCGTACCCACACTGCGACCGCTGTTGCATTTGGCGGCGCCTGAGATCGAGTCTAATGTAAACAAACAACCAAGATTACTGGCACAAGTTGTTCGTAATCCAGGCGTATGGAAAAATGATCCCCCTAAGGAAGAGTGGATTTTAGTGCAAAACAAAAGACTGCGGAACCGTTTTATTGGGCAGAAAGGTAATGCAGTGATAGACTCTGATACTAAGTTTAAAGCGGCGGCGATAAAAGTACCTATTTACATAAATAAGGTACATAAGGAGACAACAGAAGCGGACATTAAAAGCTATATACTAAGGAGAACTAGCGTAGATGTTGACCTGGAAAAGTTGAACAGAAAACAGGACAAAGATTACAATTCTTACAAAATTATTATACCCAAGTATAAACTGGATGTGTTTTTGGATAACAGCCTGTGGCCGGAGGGGGTTACATTCCGCCGATTCATAGACTTTAGAGAAAGAAAACCAAATAAAACGAATGGATAACAGTGTAAAAGCCTACAAGTTCTGCAGTTTTAATTGCAAAAATATTAAACGCTCATCTGAATGTGTAAAAAGAATTTGCCAGACCGCTGATATAATAGCTTTACAGGAGACCTGGCTTTCACAAGAAGATATACAGTTCCTGAGTAGTATACATCCAGATTTCGCATTTACCGGAAAATCATCTATGGATACGACTGCGGGGATTTTACGTGGCAGGCCTTACGGCGGGGTGGCGATACTATGGCGAATGAGCGTATTCAGTACGGTCTCTGTAATACAGTGTTTAAGTGCCCGTCTATGTGCTATCAAGGTTAATATGGGCGAGCGGCCATTTCTGGTGTTCTCTGTCTATATGCCAACTGACGCGATTGATAATTTGAGTGAGTTTACAGAATGTATGAGTGAGATAAGTGTCATTGTACGAAATAGCGACGTCGAGTCGGTTTATATGCTGGGAGATTTCAACGCTCACCCTGGGACACTCTTTGGTATGGAACTTTTCGATTTTTGTAATGAACAGTTGTGGCGTTGTGCGGACGTAGAAAAACTAGGCCTGAACACAGATACCTATACCTTCGTAAGTGACGTTCACGGGTCGCAAAGGTGGCTGGATCACTGTATTGTCACTGAAGCTGCTTGGCTATCAATCACAGATATCCATGTACTACACGATGTGTTCTGGTCAGATCATTTTCCCCTTATTATTACGTGTTACCTTAATTTAATAACACCTAAACAAGTAATTAATAAACTAAATGTTAATAAGGTTATCTGGGGGGAGAGAAATTTAGAACAAATTGATAAATATAAAAGTATTTGTAACAATCTGCTTAGGGAGATAGATTTTCCTGTGGAATTTACAGAGTGCAGCGGCAAAATGTGTAACGATCACTTGCACAGGGAAATTATAAACAAATTATACTGTCGAATAGTTGGTATTTTGAAACGGGCAGCTACAGAGAGTTTTAAAAGTAAATATGTAGGGAAAAAGCACCATGTCCCAGGTTGGAATAAATATTTAAAAACACTACATAGTGACGCGAGGCTTTGTTATCAAATGTGGCTTTTATATGGAAAGCCACAAATAGGTGCAATATATAGTAGAATGAAAGAAAGTAAACAAGTTTTCAAATGCAAATTAAGATGGTGTCAGGATAATGCACAGCAATTGAAGATGAACTTGTTAGCTAGTCATCATAAAGATAAAAACTTCTCCGAATTCTGGAAAATGGCTAACAAGGTAAATCCAAAGCCGGGTATTGCTATGAATGTAGAAGGTGTTAGTGAGCCTTTTCAAATTGCCAACTTATTTAAGGAGCATTTTAGGGTGTCACCATCTGAGTGTGTGTATGAGGTGCACAACACGGAGGAGTACTCAAGCAAATGTCATGTTCTTTTTAATGCCAAAGACATAGATTTAGTGATTAAAAATATGTCACGGGGGAAGTCACCGGGCCACGATGCACTCAGTGTTGAGCACCTTAGGCACGCTGGTGTACACTTGCCCAGAGTTGTGTGCATGCTGCTTAACTTTTGTGTAGGTCACTCATACCTCCCTGGTGACATGATAAAATCTATTGTTATACCAATAGTAAAAAATAAGAATGGAGACCCCTCGGATAAAAATAACTACAGACCAATATCGTTGTCCACTATTATTTCTAAGGTGTTGGACAGTCTGCTTGATAAGCAACTGAGAGAACACGTTACCCTGCATGATGGGCAGTTTGGGTTTAGACCTGGATTGTCCACTGAAGCTGCTATTTTGTGCCTCAAGCAGACTGTCCGATACTACACAGACAAAAAGACACCTGTCTATGCCTGTTTTCTAGACATGTCAAGGGCCTTCGATCTTGTGTCTTATAATGTACTGTGGCATAAAATGTCAACAGAAACCACACTGCCTGAGGAACTGGTCTCCATTTTCAAATTTTGGTACAGAGGTCAAATAAACCACGTCCGATGGGCGGGTGTTGTGTCAGAGGCCTATGGGCTGGAATGTGGTGTGAGGCAGGGAGGAATAACTTCACCTACCATTTTTAATTTGTACATAAATGGCCTTATTGAAGAGCTCAGCGGCACAAATGTTGGATGCTCTATAGACGGTAAGTTGATTAACAACATAAGCTACGCAGACGACATGGTGTTGTTGTGCCCTTCAGTCAGCGCGGTCAGGAAACTTTTAAATGTATGTGAAAGGTACGCGGAGGCCCATGGGTTAAGGTATAATGCCACAAAAAGTGAAGTTATGATTTTTAAATCTGGTGCAAAAACTTACTCGATGCCGACTGTTACACTGTCGGGCGTTGCTGTACCGGTGGTAAATAAATTTAAATACCTTGGCCATTGGGTCACCGATGACCTTAGTGACGACCTCGACATAGATAGGGAACGCAGAGCGTTGGCGGTGAGATGTAATATGTTGGCTAGTAGATTTGCACGGAGTTCGAAAGAGGTAAAGCAGACGTTATTTAAGGCCTATTGCCAGTCGTTTTACACGTGCAGCCTATGGACAAAGTACACACAGAAAGCCTACAACGCTCTGCGTGTCCAATATAACAACGGATTCAGATTGCTGTTGAGGCTGTCACGCTACTGCAGTGCCTCAGGGATGTTTGCCGAGGCGCGAGTGGACGGCTTTCACGCAATAGTGCGCAAAAGAATCGCATCGCTGATGCGGCGGATGCGGGGTGGCACCAACAGCATCCTGAACACCGTGGCCGTGAGGGAGGACAGCTCCATGCTGCGGCACTGGGTACGGGTGCACCTAACACCCGCTGCCCAGAACATCCGCTTTTAATGTACCTACCAGATTTGTTTCTTGTGTTTAGATATAGGTTTACTAATAATAGAATAAGATTTTAATGTTACTAACAATTTATGGGCCATGCCTGAAATAAATGATTTTTAATTTAATTTTAATTTAATTTAATTACTGCTTGGTGGCAGAAATAGATAAGGTGCCGAACAAAAAAAAAAAAGAAAAAAGAAATAGGTATTATCCTGGCTGAACTCTTTCACAAGGAACTCTACTGCTACTAAATGTTTTACTTTAGTTTTCATTTTCTCCTTAAAAATACAAATTTATTTTTGGGACAATTCTTATAGTTAAAACATAATATATGTATATATGTATATATATATATATATATATTATAAAACGTATGTAGCGAAAACTTTAGTGTTTTTTTTGTTAAAATGAACGGGTATTTAAGTTAATAACTTTTGTAACAATAGTTCACTAAATACGCGGTGGTTTGCACTAATATTAGACATAACTGGTTAATGACTTTATTACTCTGTCAACCGTGACCATGAGACCCAAAAATTTGGTTTGTTTGAAACAATAAATGTACGCGATTTAGATTTGAATTAAAAAAAGTTAAAAATCCTAGATATAAATTAAATTAATAGAAAATATATGAAATGAAACTATTTTTCCGAATTTAAAAAAAAGGAAAAATTGTTTCATTTCCTATGTGTACCAATCGAGAAAATATATGGTTTTTTAAATAGTATTTTCTTTTCGAAGGTGTTTTGGTAAAACCATGCCGTCCTACAATAAGGTCTAATTTCAATTGGTGTCTCATTGTATGGCGTAAAAAATCAAAAACTCTTACGAACTTGTGTACAATCATTTATAAAATTTCATTCCTTTTGTTACAGATTTTAATTTGGTGCGGTCATCGCACGACAAGGCGCCATGACGACAACCAGCGCAAGGTAAGTTTCTAATTTAAAGACTAACAAGTTTAAATTAGTTTGTTTCCTCGCCACGTCGAGGAATTTTGAAAAACGGAGGTCACCATCGGTGTCACCGTTTGAATGTTCAACAAAAACTCGTCAGCTTTAAAAGGTTTAAATAGCAGCGAACGGCTTTATATTAAACTAATGTCCAATAAAGATTAGATTGTCGATGGTCAAGATCAGAGCGGTCGGCGCGGGCGCACAAAAACTAGACCTCACCAAGTAGGTACGTCTATGCAGGGTGTGCTTAGTGAACGTTATATTTTTTGTTATTTAATTATAAGGTGATATGTTAATAATACTACATGGAGGACTAAATCAGTGTTATAAAATTTTGTCGACAATTTCTTATTTAAGATGAAGTATTTTCAACGCGAACCACTAAATTATAGGAAATGAGGTATGAGGGACCGCTACTCGCGTCCCGTAACCCGCGCGCTGAAAATTAATATCAATAAAATAAGAACAGGCGGAAAAAAATGATAGAGATTCTACGTTGACAAGCGCCCGATGGCGACTAACGGGCCAGCGGGTTGGCCTCGTGCAGCGTGCCGGCGATATTTAGCGACTGCAGTCGCACCGGCTCGCTGCGACTTGTTTTAACATGTAGAACTAAATGGCTTAGTGCAGCGTGCCCGCGACTGACGACTATTATTGGTCGTGAGGCTTGCAGCGATCAGTCGTCGCAAGTCGCTTGCGACTACTACTAGATTTTTTTTTATTTATTTATTTATTTATTAACTTATATACATTTTTACATTCGTTTATTGATAGATAGATGATCAATGAATATACCTATTATTATTATTACTTTATTACATAAGTAATTAAAATTGTAATAATGGTCCCAGATAGGTTAATCGATGCAGTTCGTAATCGCCGCCGAATATTAATTGATAAATATTAAATCTCCTTCTTCTTATCCTTCCTATGGCACGGACACGTAAAACAGAATTTTCCAACAAAAAAAGTTCCTGGTACTATATCCATTTCCCTGTAGGTACGATAATTATTCGAAAACTCACATAGCTATTGGCCGGTCGCCGGTACTATTACGTCCACAAAGTACTTTGTATTTACGTCGCTAGTCGCCCGCATGCTGCACTGTATTTCGTCGCTATAAGTCGTTGCGAGTCGATGCGACCGCAGTTGCGACATACTGCCGGCACGCTGCACGAGCCCTGACGCGGTGCGTCGTTAAGCCGCTGGCCAATTTTCAAATTTGGAATAAATGTGATTATGATAACTATAGG